CGGGGTGGCGGGGGGGGGGGGGGGGGGGGGGGGGGGGCGGCGGCTGGGGCTAAATGGGGCCGCGCCTGCCTGTAGTCCTCGGGTGTGGGGGGCTCTCGGGGTTTATAGGAGCTGGGGTAGGCGGAGTTTTGGGGATGGGGGACACAGGGAAAACTTCTTTCTCCTGTGTTTTGGGCTTTTTTTCCTGACACTCTTGGCCAGGGCGAGGAGCTCTCGGGTGGGACGACTTAACTGCGGAAGGGAAGGGACCCCGAGGCTGGCGCGAGAACGACAGTCACCCCTACACGTAGAGCCAGCTGCCAGGCCATAGGCGCTTTCAGTCTGTCCGGAGGTATGATCGACCTTGTCCTGGACAGTCCCATCGTCCCGGGAGGGGCTGAGCTTCCCGACACTTCGCTTACCCCCTCACTAGGAAAATCCCCTGGAAAATCTGTCCCTAGTGGGTGTTTCCGCGCCATCCTGGTCAGGCTGCTGCAGCCACTGCGCAGCCAGGGGTATCGGACACCGCCCTTCGAGGCCCGCTCGCTCTGCCCCCGCACCTCCCCGGCCCGCGCTCCAGACCTCGGGGGCCACGCGGCGGCACCCGGTGCCCCGACGGCGACTTTGCGCACGAGCCGGGCTGCGCCTGTGGCCGAGCTGGGGAGGAAGGGTGGCTCTTGCCGGCCAGTACAGCGGATCTTTTCTGTAGCTGCCCGTCTGGTAGTGCGAGCAGCCGCCAGGCTCCCCAGACGGCGGGAGGGGACGCCCCCAAGCTCCTCAGAAGCCCCGGGAGTCCCCGGCCGCCCCCGCTCCTGGCCTTTCTGCGCCAAGTGACCGAAATGCGCAGGCACCGGCAGAATGCGGCAACTCGCCCCTTCGCACTGTTATTTTGTCCTCGTGGAGGGTGGGCGGGTATGGAGAGAGGCCGACTCCCAGAGCCCCAGCCTCACCTTGACCTGGCCCTAGACCACCCCTCACCTGCCAGCGGGTGTGGGGAGGAGCTCAGATCCGCGGAAGCACCAATGGGCTGCATGGAGGAGGCAAAGACAGAATCTGGGGGGGTGCGGGCGGAGCGGGGAGCGCCCTGGAAGCTCCCCTGAGGCGTCCCGCGAGCCCCTCCTCGAAAGCCTCCCGTACGGCCTCCCCTACCATTCCACCCGTCTTGACCCCTCTGAGGGAACCGAAGGCGAGTGGAGCCCAAACTCGGGATTCCCAGAGCCTTCAGCTGGGGCCCCTGCCTCCGGGATATCCCGAGCCCCTCAGGGAACCCCGGAGAAGGGTCGCGGATCCGCGCATTTGACGCTGCCCCCTTCCAGCCAGGGACGGATTGCGCCCCTGGGTTCTGCTGAGGGGCAGAAGCCTTCCGGGTGCCACCTCAGGCTGGGGCCCCCAGGGGCCCCCAGGGGCCCCAAGTGAGGAGCGATGCTGTCTCCCTGAGCCACAGCCTCCCTCATGGAGGGGAGAGGGTCGAAAGAGCAGACCCTGGAGAAGCCGGAGACTCTAATGGCCCTGGGCCAGAGGGTGGTGAGATTCCTGGTCGCTGAAGGGGCCTGACCCCACACGAACCCAGGGAAATAAACGACTTCGTAAATCTCCTCCCTGAATGGTCGCTCCCTGCAAGGAGTTACCACTTCCCGCCCACGGGGCCCAGGTCTGAGTTCTGCCCGGAAGGGACCGCCTGTGACTTCCCTGGCCAGTTCTAGACTAGCAAAGCTCTCGAGTTGGTGTGGCTTTCTAGGTCCCCGGAGGTGGGTTTCCAACAGCCAAGGGAGAATTTACTAGCATAACGACTACAAAATCTACCCAGCCTTTAACAAGGGCTCATTTCTCTCCTCCGTTCTTAGTTGGGGAACTTGTCTCTGACTTCAGCACTGGCGTTTGCAATTTTGCATTTTTAGCTGTGACTGACCTGGCTGGACTGTGCGTGGGGGGTAGGAGGAGAAGAGCGGGGAGGCGGTGTGGGAGCCCTGCACTCCACCGCCTGCACCCTCTCGGAGGGGTGGCTTTGTTCCTAAGGGCGCCCCTCCGCCCTCACCCCCATGTGTGTGCTCTTTGTTACACCGCCCGCGAAAGGTCGGCATTCATTTGGGGAGCAAAACCCCTGATGCCCCCGCGTCCCTCCACAGCGGGCTGCTCGGGGCTGAAGCTGGGGCGCCAGGTGGGAGGGCCGGGCAGGGTGCGCGGGCGGGGCAACGGGCCCGGCGCGCCGCCTGGTCGTGGCCCCTTGGCAGGTCCTGGGCATTCCCGGGGGCCACACCGGGGGTCGCAGGCGAAGATGCGGGACGAGTAGAGTTGTACGACGTCCACTGGCCAACCCCTCCCCACGTCAGGGCAGCCTCCCCTGGCCAGCCTGGAGAAGCCCACGCGACCCCCCGCCACAGGCTCGGTCGCGGGGCTCCTGTCGGCCTGGTGATTTGCGCCCCCGGGATCCATATTTCAAATGTGATCTTTGGAGCCGCTTCCACCGCCCGCCGCCGCCGCCGCGCGCTCACAACGGCCTCTGCGTGCTGTGTGTTTTTCATTTGGGGTTGGTTTGCCCAAGGTCTCCCCGCGGGCCTCCTCTGCCCGCGAGGTCGCCCCTCCACGTCCGCCCCCTGTGTTTTGCTCTCGGATGCCCCCGTTGCGCCCCCGAACCCAGCGGGGCCCACACGCAGGGCAGATTTCTTTCTTTCCTTTTTCCAAACGAGAGCTGCTGCAGCAAAGCCGGGAATGAAATTAAAATCGCCAGGCGGACCCCGAAGTGGTCGTCAGCCGCAGCGCAACCCCACCCCACCCTCCTCCCAACCCCCCGCGCGCCCCCCGCCCGGCCTGGCGGCGCGCCGAGGGTGAAGCGCGCGCCCGAGAGGGTATTCGGTGAGGCGGGGAGGAGGGGGGGGTGGGGTGGGGTGCCGGGAGCCGCGGGCCGGGGAAGCTGGGCTCGCTATCGTTCCTCCCACCGACCCCGGAGTGGCGGGGCAGGCGCGATCGGAAGGGCCCGGTGCGTCTCCGCCTCCCAGGCTGGCC